TGCGAACCTATCCCCCGCGTCGACGTGATGTTCGCTAGAGTGAGCACAAAACGTTACTACTCCAAATTTGACTTTGCGAAGGGCTACTGGCAGGTACCAATGGCTCCAGGGTCAGAGGACGCAACGGCTTTCTCGACAACAACGGGATTATATCGATTCCGGTTTATGCCCTTCGGCATCAAAACAGCCCCGGCAGTATTTACACGGTTGATGAGGAAGATTCTTGATGGCGTACCGGACGATCACCACTACTTTGACGATGTTTTAGTTGCGTCTGACTGCTGGGAAGATCACTTAAAAGCAGTGCGTCAGTTTTTGACCAGGGTAAGAGAAGGAGGACTAACGATCTAACCCAAAAAGACAGAGATTGGCTTCTCCAAAATAACATTCCTGGGCCATAAGGTTGGGCAAGGATCCTTCGAGCCTCTAACGGAGACCCTGAAGAAAATCCAGGACTGTAAACAACCTCGAACCAAAAAAGAAGTAAGATCATTCCTGGGATTAACAGGCTACTACAGGGAGTTTATCCCAAACTACGCGGAGACCGCACTTCCTTTGACGGAGCTGACGAAACAAAGAGCGTTTGACAAAGTTATCTGGGAGAAGAAACACGCAAAGGCATTCGATGAACTGAAAAGACTGCTTTCCAGAAAGCCTATCTTGAAATCACCAGATGTGACGAAGACATTCGTACTGAGGACAGACGCCTCAGAAAGGTCCTTGGGAGCCGTGCTCATGCAAGAGCACGACAACGTTCTTCATCCCAACGCTTATGCTAGTCGTAAACTACTACCCCAAGAGGTCGCCTATTCCACCATAGAGAGAGAATGTCTAGCTCTCATATGGGCAGTAAAAAAGTTTCATGTATACTTGTTCGGAAGACACTTCACCATACAAAGCGATCATCAACCGTTGCAGTACCTTAATTCAGCCAGAAAATTAAACAACCGGGTACTGAGGTGGAGTTTACTACTCGCCGAATACGACTTCCACGTCGCGTACATCAAGGGAAGCGAAAACTTTGGAGCAGACTTTTTGAGTCGCTTGTAATCTGCACTGGCACATCACTGTCATCGTGAAGGCCTGTCCATCCCTTTGTGTATTCTATGACAAGATGAAAACATGGCTTACACAAGCAAGTTTGGTAAACACAAGCAATATGATGGCTTGCGAAACTGGGACGTGAGAACGCGAACAGCCAGCTGAGTGAGTGTCAACACCAGCCAAATTACTTAGTTTAACTTAGAAAAGTAGTGCGATGTTTCTTACTCTTATGTTTTTGGTTTGATTGTTTGTTTGTCCCTTTTTGAAACAATTGGAACAATTGTCTTAAAGGGGGGGTCGTGTGGTGAGGTGGACTATGGAAGCGAGAAGAGAGGAAGTCGAAGTGGGGCCGGACAGTGTGGTGCGCGTGAAAAAGGGGGCTTCTGAAGGCAGATCGGCAACTGCGACGCTAAAAAAGACATCGGTGGGCTCCCGCGGTCCCGACGGCAGCAACGACTGGTTCTGGACGGGCGGCTAGAGGCCCGTGAGAGCTAGCCCTGGCCAAGAGGACCGCCGCCTACGCCGGAAAGCAAACATTCCCCAAGCCGACCCAGAAGGCAGCACCCGTGGCCGCCACCGACGACGACGTGAAGGTGCGGTGCCTGACTCGAGTGAGACTATACGTCATCTATTTTCGTTTTTTCTTCTGTACATAATACACCTCTTTCTTTCACTCGCCGTCCTCGGGTTCTTCGTCCTTTATTCACCATCTTTCCATCACACCAGGTCATCTACACCGATGCAACAGTTACTAAGGAGGGAAAAGCGGCTTGTGCATGGTTTAACACGACAAAGAACAACTATGGGCGAAGGCTCCTGGAAGAAGGAACCCACGTGAAAAGGGCCGAACTAGAAGCAGTGGCCGACGCCATACAGAGCCACTGCCATGAAGAAAAGGAGACTATATACCTCTTCTCGGACTCTAGAAAGGCCATCGAGGAACTTCGAAACCCATGCACCATGGGCAAGGCAGCACAAAAGATCATGATAAACATCAAAGAAGCAAGAAGCAAGGACACCAACTTCTACCTGGAGTGGGTTCCCGGTCACTCAGGGATCCTTGGACAAGACAGGGCCGAGCGGGAAGCCAAGGCGGAGATAATCTTCCAATACTATCGCCACCAATCGACGCTTCCAGCCATCGTGCCCGTCGAGCAACGGGACCCGTTTGACTTCGCTCCTCACGAGGCCAGGGACGTCAATAAGGAACGAAGAAGGGCCAGACTTAATGCCCTTAAACCTATCCCTCCTGCCCTACCAACAATGAGGCTCAGTAGGTGGCAAAGGGTTTGCATTAGGAGGTTGCACTCTGAAGCCACGAACGACCCATGTACGCTTAGTAGAAAAGGCATAAGCCAAGATAGCGGCCGCCCCTTCTGCGAACAGACTACAGGAAGCCTAAGGCATATGCTTTGGGAATGCGAGTGTTGGAAAGAAAAGACGATGAAGCATAAGACCTCAGCAAGGGTAATAAGTTATGAAGAATGGACCCAACCATTACAAGCGTTAGAAGATATTGAACGCAATAAGGAGCTGCTTAAGAGTCTCCTAGACTTCATCGCCTCTACAGGAATAAAAAAGATTCATCTAGGCACCGCGTAGCAAGCTCCTGTACCTGCGCGACCCCTCCCCTCCACCCCCCCCCCCCTCACATTTTTTAAAGTCTAACCGCCGAATTCATAGATGTCACTCCGAGTCATGCCAAGTGAAGGGCGACCCTTCACTTACAGAAGGGCGGTTGAAGGGGCACTTCCACTTGAAGTGAGGTTTACCATTCTGAAATGGCACTTCGCTTTCACTCGAGCAAGTGAAGGGAGCCCTTCTACGGGATGCGTCCGGGAGCGAGAGTAGAAAAGAAATTTATATTTATACTTTGCGTAAGACCACAAAAGTAAGTTAATTCTTAGTGTGTTTACATAATTTGTGTTTATAAAGAAATATTAGCACATAACAAACATGTTGCGATTTCAGAAACGAACGTAGCTCGTGCATCTTCTTTCAAACTAAATTGGCCAGCAATATAGCCATCAATATCCATGCTGAATACATTCCAAGTCCTTCCGATATCCTTGTTCCAACGCCACCACCGCCGTTGCCTTTTCGTGTTTACTTGCCCTGCTGGTTTGTTCTTTTAAAGTTTTCATTTCCGTAGCGTGTAATGGATAAGGCCAAGGCACCCGCTGCGCGGTTCACAGAGATCGAAAAGGCAATACTGATGGAACTTGTAATGACGTACAAAAAAATCATCGAATGTAAAAAGACCGACGAATCGTCGTTAAACAAAAAAAAGGCAACTTGGATTCGACTCTGCAACGAGTATAACTGCAACCACGGTGTATATCGACGGGACGTGAAACAGCTAAAAAAATGGTGGGAAAATGTGAAGGCCAAAGCGAAGAAGGACCATTCCAAAGAAAAAAACAAGGTCCACAAAACAGGCAAGTCTCTCGTTCAGGTTTCTCATCGCGCTGAAAGTGCCTCGGAATGAGCGATGGGTCACATTTGTAGCCCGAACTGTCGGTCACAAATTCGCCCTTGTTTCGAACTGTTGTTTCTGGAATACCTGTCATGGGGGATGGAGCGTGAACGTGCGCAGACAAGTCGGTTATGCAACCTAATGCTGTCAGTTGAATACCGTAGTAACCTGACAATGGAGCAGCATGAACGGAACCGCAGCACGATATAATACTACCGTTAAATCAGTAATTCTACTTGCAGTTTTTGCGGCGGACATGTACAGTAGATCACAACTGACAACACCCAGATGCTCAATATTTCATTTCATTACGCATGGGGCAGAGGGGATGAACATTCCCTATCAGCAAATGCATGCCTATAAATCGGGGTATATTTAAAAAGGAAAACAGATCTTAGATAACAATAGAACTTGGAGTGCCTAGATTGACTACTGTTTGCTCCTTTAGGAGGGGGGCCACCTGGCAAGCCAATGAGCGCCACCTCCGTGCTGGTTGGGGCGGTGGCCTCACACGTGTTCAACAGACAGGAAAATATGGAGGACAGCGATGGGGCACCCTATCTGCCCCCGGTCTGCAGCCTCCCAGTTCTCCGACTACTGCAGCCGATGCTGGATGGCGAGGAGGACCCTCTTGATGCCGACTTGGGTAGAATGCTTGAACCGTTTCCATGTCTTGACCTGTACTTTCTAAACTGGTACCTTTTCGTCTTTACCCACTGATCTTCTCATGGATATGCATGGATACGGTTATAGATCATAATGAGTCTGCCTTCAGAAATGTTTCACCTGGTGTTCCTCAGTAGTACATACTGGCACCCCTACGTTTTTTAATAATCATGAATGACCTTGCAGCAACCATCTCATCTAATATTAATCTTGTTGCAGATGACTGTGTCGTCAATAACAAAGTAAAAAGTGTGCATGACAACATTCAATTTCAAGATAATTTAGTAAAAATGAACAAATGGTGCGAACAGCATGTACATTACTTATGTACAAGGTAACATATATCATTGCAGGGCTGGGTTCCATACAGCTTCAAAACAGTACATGGCAACTACTGCAGACTAACAATGACCATACTCCCCTGACAAAGAAACAAACAGCACAGGGTATTAAAATAATCATAGCATGATTTCTGCCAAGAAATATCTATACCAAGCACTCCAAAAGGTGGAAACGGTTAAGTGATCTAGTGGCCTAGTTTATGGCACAGGTTCAAAATGGATGAAAACATTGTTACACATTAGATCAGCAGCAGAAAAAAAAATCAAATACTTCAAATTGCAACTGCATGAAAAACAAAAATACAATCTCAAACGTATAAAAACCCTTTCTACTCTTCATGTATGTCCCATTGTTCACTTCATAACTTCTACGTGTTCTTTCAATTGCAGAGGAGCCCGGTTCACCAGCTGGGCCTGCCTCAGACGTCGGTGCACCACTGTCACCAGCGGCAGCCTGCATCGCTGATAGACCTGCAGCAGCCCCAGCAGCTTGCCTGATTAGCCAGACATCTACTGCAGGGTCACCAGCTCCTACACCTGCGGCTGCTGCAGCGTGCAACAGTGGTAGTGCGGCAGCAGCTGTGGGCAGTGGTGCCCGCCAGGTCGGAGGACGTATGGCGCTGCTGGAAAGGAGCCTCGCAGAGGAAAACGATATGAGGATGGCCTTTGTCCAGCAGGAGCATGCCCTGCGCTGCAACTTCCTTGAACAGGACCACCGCGACGCACTCAGCAAGAGAGCTGCGCTGCATGAAATGGAAATTAAATTGCGCGAGGACGAGCTGAAAAAAAGAAATGCCATTCACGAAATGGAGATGAAGCTCCTGTGTATCAAGGAAAACATACTGCTGCAGGAGCTGAGCCAGAAGGCTGCACAATAAATCATGTTCAAACTGCTATGCCTGCTTTACTGATGGTTCACTTTTAAAGTCAAACTGAAGTATCACACACTTGGAAGTACGACTCCTCACCTTCATGGCCTGTGTGATGGGCCTCTTGAGCCTACGTGCAGCTCACGTAAAGCTCAGCAGAATGATGTTCTGCCGGATACGCAGACCCGAAGGAGAGTCCTCCGGGAGAATCGGTGGCAGGTGTGGCTGCCGCCGCCTTCTGGCATTCCGTGCCCTGGGACTTGGTGGCGGGGGTGGAGGAGGAGGTAGGGGCTCATTTCTTGCACGTCCCAGATTATGCAAAGCCGCACACGCGGTGATGATGCTGCATGAGTGGCGAGTCTTGTGCTGGAGCCGCATATCCAAACAGGGAAATCGTCTCTTCCAGACCCCAAAGGCCCTCTCGACGGAGTTCCTCGTTCGGATCTGGGCCTTGTTGTACCTAAATCAAATTATAAGGCATGTGATCGATTTTTAGGCATCTGGGAACATACTTGCAATCACTGTATTTTCTTTTTCAGTATGGAAATAACAGGTTGACATTCTTTTGTCGAGGTTAGATATGTTTTATTGACAACTTTTCGTGCACGCACGGCTTCAGGATACTGTTGACATCTCATGGAAACTTTTTCGTTCTTGCGACATTTCGTCGACAAACGTTTTCTTCTGCTAGGTGGATTGAATTTAGTGGTCGCGGTCGTCAAATCTTATGATTTTTTTTTCATTTGCCTAATGCTGAAAAAGAAAAATTAGACTGAATTTACTTTTTAGTGAATGAACCACCGACGGCGGGGCAAGCTATGTCTTAAACAGACCACACGATCACACCTCGCTTTGCTCCGCTCTGCTAGGGGAAATGGTTCATTAGCGATGTGCGCGACCAAAAGCGCCGCTGCGGTCAGCTTTCGACGATTGGCCAAACCGTGGGCATATGAGCATTGTCAGATTGTCAGCTTTGACGGTGTTACTTTCGGATTGCAATGACTCCTAGCTTCCACTGTGCTTTTTAAACACACCACCGAAGTCGTCGTCGCACCTGATGGTAAGTAGACAGGATAACAACTGGTGACGTCACGTCGAGGCAAATCCCACTCGTGACGTCACGGATGGAAACCATAACAGGGCGCCATTGAAACATCTCGGTGCTAAAATAATCTCAAGTTCGAGCTTGCACCAAGCCTTGTCGAAACCGCCAAGGGTTCGGCAAGGTAGGAAAGAACATTGGATATCGGCGAAGTGATCTGTCCATGAAACGCTTGAAGAACTGTTTGTCACCGGCAATGACTGCCTGCTATTACAGACATTAGTGATGTTGTCAGTGCAGTACCAAAACAAATCTTATACTTCTGCCGATGATTTGGCTTACCTCCCTCCGGGACTATTTGCCGCTCCAGGGTTTGCGAGCGGCGTCATCAGGAAAGGGAGACAGGCATAGCCCATATCCCCCAGCAGGACGCCGGGCACTCTGCTCTCCTCGTAAAGGGCACGCGCACGACTGCCATCAAAGATGCGGCTGTCGTGCACAGATCCTGGCCAACTTGCCACAACATCAAAGAACTGTAGCTGTGGGCCGGTGATGGCCTGCAGGTATATAACATTGCATTAATACGGCAATTTGGGCCAGTTGGCTCATGCTCGAAAACAAGTGAAACAACTGCCCCCCCCCCCCCCCCCCCCGGGGCTGGCTACGTGCCTGTTGCCCGTAAATAACGCCGCATATGCAAGCTAGGTATAGGCTGTGCAATGGCTATTTCGAGCGGGCCCAGAGGTGTACAATAAGCAGCAACAACACAGCTGATGAAAGGGTTTCCCTATGTTTTACAATGATCGGGTTGAACAGCTGAAATCGTTTTGCGTGAGCATTACCCATGCTTCCCAGCCTGGCAGTTTAGTAGGCAAGCTACGTCAATAAAGGGGGTATAAGAAATATGAGCTCACCTGGACGTTCAGGGAGAAGACTCCTTTCCTATTGCGATAAACTTCCGCATCATCTCCGCCGGGGCTTCTGATGCGCACGTGGGTGCAGTCGATGCAACCCGTGACGCCAGGAAACTGCCCCATTGCGTAGAAGTCGCGCATAACGCCGTGGTACTCCGACGCAGCCGGGAAGTGCACCAGCCTTCGGAAGAGCACCCTCGCGATGAGCGTCGTCACCGTCCTCACTGTGCGGCAGACAGTCGGCTGGGAGACATGCACCAGGTCTCCCGCTACCATCTGGAAGGTCCCGGCGCCGTAAAAGCGAAGGGTGACCAGCAACTGGAGCAGGGGGGTGAGCGGCAGTCCTCGGTTGTCGCCGGTTTGCTGGAGAGGCAGCAGCGTCAGGAGTTCCCTCACCGTCGGCTTCGTAAAGCGATATCTCGCGAGGAACTGGCGGTCACTGTACAGCTCCATCGGGTTCAGGCGGTCCGATAGATTACGCCGCGGCACCGACGGACCGAGCGGGTACATAACGCCGAACACAAGGTCGCACGCACGAGAAGCGAACTCAAAAGACGCGATCCTGCGAGCGGCATCACTCCGATAACCCGGGTAACCCGCCATCTTTTGCGATGAAGGGAGGCTCGAGTGTAGTTGAAGGGCGGTGCCACCGCTCACTTGAATTTTTTCGAGAAAAGTCCGAGTGAAGTGCGAGGCGAGGGAGCGTTTCGAGTGAAGGGGGATTTATGAAACGTAATGACACCCACTCAAGGGCGTTGGAAGTTAAGTTCGAGTGAAGTGGGATCTATGAATTCGGCGGTAAAGACTTCAGTCGCAAGACATTTCTTTTTTTTCTGACAATAAACGTTTTCCAACCAACATCGGTTTCTTAACCTATCACGCTACGACTTTGTGCAGCGTTTCCCACAGTTAGTGCATTTTTTTTTGTAAAATTTGCAAAGAGCGAACTTACCTGAGGAAAAAGTAAAGAAAGAAGAAGGCTTAGCTCCTATGGAAACGCAGCGACGCCACCGGTCTTCAGGCGCCGTTTCGCACGGGAGACAAGAGATGGCGCAGGCGATCGCTACGCCAACTGCCGCCAACGAACCAGCAGACGACGCCGAGAGTCGGCGTATTTAGCAGACAAGGAACAGCAGTTCCTTGTTATTACCACGCCTGTTTTTGTTTCTGTGACTGTCGCCGCCTGCGGAACGCGCGCCGCTTTTGAGTCGAAAAGATTGTCTGCTAAAGACGCTGGCTCTCGGCGCCGTATGCTCGTTCGTTGGCGGCGTTCGTTGCGCCATCTCTTGTGTCCCGTGCGAAACGGCGCCGTGTTGTTTGAAGACCGGTGGCGTCGCTGCGTTTCCATAGGAGCTAAGCCTATTTCTTTCTTTACTTTTTCCTCAGGTAAGTTCACTTTTTGCAAATTTTACAAAAAAAAAAAAAATGCAGCATCTGTGGGCAACGTTGCACAAAATCGTAGCGTGATAGGTTAAGAAACCGAATTTTGCGGTCGATTTAAAGAGCCTGCCGTCTCCTTGTTTCACCCTGTAGATACACTCCAGCACGCACCTCTCGTAGGGCCGAGTTTCAGCGCGCGTCGGTGGCGGGGCCTGGAACTCGGTATTCTTTTTTGCCTTTTTCCGCGCTGCACCAGGTTATGTTGGCCTCTCTGGCGTTGGCTGCGCAAACTAAAAAAAAACAACAAAACAAACAAACTAAGTAACGTATTGGACTCCTTCCTTTACACAGAGAAAAACATTTTACAGCGTGAACGCGTTGAAACCGGAAAGCGCGATCAGCTGGCACGCACACACGGATGACAAGAAGCTGACGAGGTAGGAGGGCCGAGTTTTTGTGTCGAGAACGCCTCTCACTAGGCGGCGCTAAAATTCGGCCCTCAGCCTGGAGCAGGCTCTTCGATAGGGAGCGCGCAGATAAAGTGGTCGTAAGTATAGAGTTGGTCGTGCTCGATACAAAAAGATTACGCCGCAAATATACATACAAATATACAAGCGTGCGCCCCGCAGTAACAGTCTCTATCGGCGAATGCAATGGCCTGAGGAACGCAGCCAGCGAGCGAAAAATCTCGGAGGCCATTTCGGAAGATGCTTTGCGCGACACTATGCCGCTAGGATCGCTTCGATTTTGCAAAAGTTCTATTGGGGTTTTGACAAAAATCCACCAGAGAACTACCCCGGCGAATACGTTCCACGCGGGTCACGTGCGTCACGTGCCCATGGATAACATATGGTTCGATTTTCATGGCGACTTGCAGCTGCTCCTTTCTCTTCGTAGCTCAGAGACCAGGCCGGTTCACTATGAACGTCTCAACCAACAGAAAAGTGCCAGCCACTGGTGGAACCATAGACAGCAGTCGAATCTTAAGCGTCACCGTGATAGCGTGCCTGATAATGGCGTTTGCTTCCCTGACTCTCGCCTTAGTGATCCTCGTCGTGATGACCGACACAAAAGGAACTGCCCCGAGAAACGACACCAGCTACTGCTGTCCCGACGTGGCATCACAGCTCATCGTGGCCGCCAATTTCACCTTGGACCCTTGTGGAGCTTACACCAAGTACGCTTGCCACAACATGGACGCCCTCAGCAGAAAGAAAGTAGACAACCAGTCCTTAAAGGCGCTTCGTATATCCGCCACGATTGGTCTATTTCGAAGTCCCGCCGGAAAATATATCGCCGCGTTTCACCGAAGCTGCCTGTTTACCCTAGGCCAGGGCTCCGATCTGCCCGAGAAAGCCATGACTGCACTCGTAGAGACCACCGGAGTTTCCAAAACCATGAGTCCGACGGACGTTCTTCGCGTTTTGCTTCAGCTGTCCGTGCTGCACGGCCTTCACACACCGGTCGCTATAACAGTGCTCCCACTTTACGAATGAAACAACGTTTTCACCATGGCCCCCGATGTGCAGTCAACCTTCGCCGGAGGTAGATACGATTACGTGCGTCAAAAAGTGCTCACTGTGTACAACCAAATATTGCGAGTCAACGTGTCAAAAGAGGACATGTCGAAACTGCACTCGTCGTCACCAAAAACGAAGCTAGGGAGTATGACGTGTAATGATAGCTTTCAGGTCTTGCACACACTCATTTCAGGCGTTTCTCAGCAAGAGTGGATCGCCATGGCAGCTCCGTTTCACATCGGGCCAACACCGAGTGCTATGTGTTACAAGGACATCGACTTCATTTCGGAAATATTGCACGCCCTGACCTCGGAATCCGAACGTCGGGAAGTTCAGCTTGCTCTTCTCTTGGTCATGTGCAGCGTCGACCTCGTCTTGCGTCGCTACGCGCATCCACCGAACATCAATTCTCTATTTTCGAGATGCCAGAGTTTGACCAACAAACTAACGCCCCTCTGGAGAATAATCGCCCTCGAACAACTAACGGATTCACAGAGGGACCGCGATGTACGGGGCATTTTCATCGCCACGAAGAAGGCCGTCATTGGGGACGTGCTGGAGCTTTTGCATCCTGCAGACGCGAAGGAAGCTGAACGCCTCCTGTCCACAGTACGCCTTGTTCTACCAAAACAGCTGATCCCCGATCATCTGCCGCTCCCAGAAGCCGCACCCAACTACTTTATAAACGCCCTTAAAATGAAGCTGTACAGAGTCACTGTAGACAAGCGGCTTGAGGCGTTTGTCCTAGACCCGTATGAGTTACACCACGCGTTGCTGGAGACGACCATCAGGCGTCTCCATAACGACGTCATTCTGGTGCCTTCCTTAGCCTACCCCTCGTTCAGGTTCGGCAACGACGTGGATCCCGCCATCAACGCGGCTACGGTGGGCGTGGAGATGGCTTTCGAGATGTGGAGTCTCGTGTTCGACTTCGACAACTGGTCCGAGGAAAGTGCCTCCAGAATACAAGAGCACATCGCTTGTTCTTCCGTCGGGATCTCGCAAGGCCGCACTTTGCACACCAAGGCCCGCCTGTCCATCAAATCGGCGTCCGCATCTGTGCGAGCAGTTGGCAGACCCTGGCACCTGCCTCAGTACGTCTGGGGCCACAACCGTCTGTCCAGGGCACAGATGTTCTACATGAAGTTCGCCACGCAATACTGCGCCGGGTGGAGGGGAACGAATTCGGTAGACGAAGTGCTTACGAGCCTTCGCGACTTCAGAGAAACCTACAGCTGCCCCCTTTCTGCGAGCAAGGCCGTCAACTGTTCTTTCGATTACTAATTTTAGGGATTGCGTCCAACCTTTCAGTATGCATTTCCGATTGATCTGTTCGCTCCTCACCCATCTTGTTTGATGCAACGCATCGGTTATCTAGTCTTGCCTATTGTGCTTTGAAGAAAAACTCTGAAATCGAAATACTTGAATTTGAACGAAAGCTGGGAGTTTTACGCACAGCAGCCAACGCAGCCGATGCTGCGATCAATAGGGCCACTCAAACAGCTTCAAAAGTCAATCATCTGTGCTAATAATTTCTGTGCGTTTAAAACACAATTATAATCCATTCTATTTATTTGAATTTTTTTATAAGTGCTCCTATGTGTGTGTATGTGTGTTTTTTTTGTCTTTTGCGTTCAAGTGCCATGTTCTTAGTTATATAATATTTTGCCATAAGTCCGACAACTACAGTCTGTTTCATCATAAGTAAGAAGCGCATAATCAAAGATGTAGACAAAAAAAAAAAGAAGTGAACGCAAACACGCGAACACACATTAAAAATGCAATGTAATGGCGCATTCAAAATTAGTCGTTAGTTTTTTAGAGACCAAGAGTTTCGCAAAGCGACATTGTTACCCGTTGTAGATTATAAAAAATGAAGTACAACTGTTAGCTCAGGGTCTTTAACGTGCATTGCGCAGTATATCTGGTACACGATCGCACAACGGTAGGATGCAGATGGGCCACAGAACCCAGGGCCCCTGCTAAAGCCCCTTGAGAAAGGCGTTTCTTACAAGTACCGCCAACCATTGTTGTGGAAACGCGGAAGACACGTGCCACGAGCGGGTGCTCCGCCGCCATTCGCTTTCAAGGGCCAGTCATTTTAGTGCTGCGCCGCCATTTGTCTCCAAGGGCCCCTCGAAACACGAGCCTCGTGCACTGGCATATTTAAGGTTACTTGAAAGAACAACGCAAGCACATCGAGGGGATTTAGCCCCTACAGGTTCTGCAGTGTGAGCTCCGTGCTTTGAACGGAACTCGCACTCGCGCATTTCAAAATGTGCTCGGTCTATCTATGCTGGAACGCAAACTGAATGATGTAGATAACTCCATCGGGCGCTGATTGGCTCTTCTCTCGGGTCACGTGACATGACGTTGAAATGTAGTTTTTCCCTATGCAGTTCGAGCTATGCTCGTAAAATGATGCAGTTGGCGGTGACGTCAAAATGTCGTCACAATGCACCTTGACGATGCAGTTAACTGAGTGGTCGATGCGAAGCCGAAGATCAATCTGCATCGTAAAAAATGGCGGCCCTAACATATGCGTTTCTACTGTTGGGTTCGCCAGCGGATCGAGTTTTTAGAGATCACAGGGATGCTTTAGAGACGAGCGATGTGAGGTTTGTGGGCGA